AATGTACATGCTTTTTTGGCCGCGCACTATATGTATTAACGGGACATGGTGGTGCTATTATGGAAATACAATGGAGTTTAGATGGTAGTGAACTTGCTTCATGTACTACTGGTTTGTAAAACTAAAACTTGTCTAAATATAAACTATTTGTTTATATTGATTTTATTTAGATAAATTAGCTTATATATGGGATATAACAATATGTCAACGTGTTAAAAAATTAAAAGGACATCAATCATTTGTTAATTCAATTGGTTATTCACGTATAGGTAAAGATATAATATGTACGGGTTCAGATGATCGTACTGTTAAAGTTTGGGATAGACGTAAACGTGGTGAAGTTATGACATTTGATTCAGAATATCAAGTATTAGCATATTGTTTTAATTCATCATCAGATGCAATATTTTCTGATGGTATTGATAATACAATTAAAATATGGGATTTACGTACACAAGATGTATCTTTACGTCTTGGTGGTCATCTTGATAGTCCAACAGGTCTTGAATTAAGTTATGATGGATCTTATTTAGCATCAAATTCAATGGATTCAACAATGTGTATTTGGGATATACGACCATATTTTAATGGTGTTGATCGTTGTATTAAATTATTACAAGGACATCAACATAATTTTGAAAAAAATCTTTTACGTGTGGCACGATCATCTGATGGAAAACGTATATCATGTGGAAGTGCTGATAAACATATTTATATTTGGGATATAGCAACAAGAAAAATTCTTTATCGTTTACCTGGTCATCTTGGTAGTGTTAATGAAGTAGATTTTCATCCAAATGAATCAATTATTACATCATGTTCATCAGATAAGACTGTTTTTCTTGGGGAAATTGAACCTTAAGAAAATAAGTGAAAAAGCAAAAGTTGTTGTTTTTTTTTCTTCTTTGACTGTTTCAAGTGCTGTGCGTATTTAAAAACTGTCCAGAATATATTATTGTTGTCTCTTCTGTATTATTGTTATTGGCTTTGGTGTGTCTGTACTCTCGTATAGAAAAATACAATTGTCAAACAAATGTATATGCTTGTGTGAGAGAGAGAAATAAGAGAATGTCCTTGTCTTGTTCAATAGGGAGAATAAGGTTAACTTAATGACTAATATCTCATATAAATTCAAACAAGAAATCATTCCTATAACGAAAAAAAAACCTTTAATTTAGATGAATATACGTGGCCAACTCAAAGGAGAACTGAAACAAAAAGATCCGAATGCTCGAGCAATTCATGAAGATCAATCATTTGCTGAAGCAGCTGTTAATGCTCTTGAACAACGAACATTACTTGATATTGATGCAGATCCGTAAATATAAAATTATTTTTTTATCTTTTGTTTTATTCAATTTCTTTTACTTTTATTGTAAACATCTAGATGGCATGCACGCCATACGAATATTATTTGTACAATAGGTATATTTTGCTTTTAATCTATTATGAATAATAATATATTTTATTATTTACATTTCTAGGGCCGACATCACAAAGTGTTGAAATCCTTACAAAAATGATCAAAGCCGGAATGAATATAGCTCGATTAAATTTTTCACATGGAACATATGAAGTAAATTTTAAAAAAATGAAAAGTTTGTTTAATTATTTTATTTATTATTGATTTAGTATCATAAAAAAAGTATTGAGAATATTCGTATAGCTGAAAAATTAACAGGAGGAGCAGATGAATTTCGATGTGTTGCCATTGCATTAGATACTAAAGGTCCAGAAATTCGAACAGGCATTTTAGCTGAAGTAAGATTTTAAACTCTTATTAAAAAGAACTTCAACAAACAAAACAAATTTTCTTTTGAAGGGTGTTAACAGTGAACTTGATTTACAAAACGGAGAGATTGTTCGCATAACAACAGATAAAACCTATGCAGATAAATCTACCATAGATAATTTATATGTTGATTATGTAAATATAGTTCATGTTATTAAACCAGGAAATCGAATTTTTATTGATGATGGCCTTCTTTCATTACTGGTTAAAGAAGTTGGTTAGTAAAATTCAATTTTTAAATTTTATTTTAATGTCTTGTATTTATAGGAGATAATTATCTTAAATGTGAAATTGAGAATGGTGGTTCATTAGGTAGTCATAAAGGTGTTAATTTACCAGGTGTACCAATTGATTTACCTGAAACATCAGAAAAAGATAGACACGATCTTGAATTTGCTATAGAGAATGATGTAAGAAAATATAAATTAGTTTTTTTTTGAATTTTGTTTCAAATAATTTCTGTTCTGGTTTTTCTTTTCGTAGATCGATATCATTTTTGCAAGTTTTATGCGTGATGCTGATGGTGTTCGTGCAATTCGAAATATTCTTGGTGAAAAAGGAAAAGATATTAAAATAATTGCAAAAATTGAAAATCAACAAGGAATTCACAAGTATAAATAAATATTAAAAAAGAAAATCATCAATTTGAATTTCTTGTTTATAAAGTTTTGATTCAATTCTTAAAGAAGCTGATGGTATTATGGTTGCACGTGGTGATATGGGTATTGAAATTCCTCCACAAAAAGTTTTTGTTGCACAAAAAATGATGATTGCTAAATGTAATCTAGCTGGTAAACCGGTTATTTGTGCTACTCAAGTATAAATTTTACATTTATTAAAAGAAAAAAGATAAATCAAAATATTTTATATTGTTTATACAGATGTTAGAAAGTATGACAAAAAATCCCCGTCCAACTCGTGCTGAAGTCAGTGATGTAGCCAATGCAGTTTTGGATAATGCTGATTGCATTATGTTATCGGGTGAAACAGCAAAAGGCAACTATCCTATACAATGTATTCAATTAATGCATGAGGTTTATTTAAAAGGAAAAAAAATTAGAGAGATAAATAATTTCTATTCATGTAATTAAGATTGCTCGAGAAGCTGAAGCTTGTTTATATCATCGAGAACTTTTTGAAAATCTTAGTTATTTTACTAAACCACCATTGGTAAATAAATTTGTTTTTCTTTTTGTTTCGAAGATATTCAATCGAAATGTAATTGTATTTAGGATCAAATGCAATCAGCAGCTATTGCTGCTGTTGAAGCAGCTTTTAAAAGTTATGCGCCACTTATTGTTGTACTAACACATTCAGGACGGTAAGAATAACAAACTTCTTTTGCTTTCAAATTTTGAGTAATAATGCTAAGTTTGCGTTTTTCATTGTGTGACCTCGAAAAATTGTACGAAAAGTTCGGATTTATTTTTATTTAACTCGTTCTTAATGACATTGGTTTGAGTTCAAGTGAGTGCGAAATCATTATCTGTTAATAACTTTAGCAAACGGATCGTTCTATAAAACTTCATCGAGAATGATTACATATGGTAGTAAACATATGCCCACCAGAAGAAGAATAAATTTATTGCACTTATATTTGATTTCTTGTGAAAATGTACGCATGGATTTCTGTTTTAAAAGTAGGTCATAAATAAATAGGAGCTATCCATAAAGAACACTCAGAAATGAGGAGAAGAGGACAGAGTATGTTCAAGATTGTATCAGCTCACTTTTGGACGTCTCCTATTGAGAAGGTTGTGAGCACCAACCCTGTAGTTTCTACATCCTTTTACTTGCCTAGTTCTTCAGAAATGTAATAGAAAGTTTGTGGGAGAAAAGGGATGATTCCGATGTCTACTTGTATACTTCAACATCCCTTTTAGATCGTATTTTAGAAAAAAGTAGAAAATTATTTAGAAGAAAAGAATCAATTGCTCCAAATGATCCGTTTGTTCAATCCGCTACCGGAGCATAGTTCGCATTCAGACAGACATTAGCTGAGAAAAACGAAAGTAACCATTTTAACTATTCAAATAGTATTAAATAGACTTATTCTCAATAGAACGAACGAACACCTCTTAGCACCAATCTGAATCTGCTTACACTCGTTAGGGGTAATT